CCACACTCTTTCCTCTGAGGAGTGTCAGCTAATGGTGCTAATCCTTCTCTGCCTCTTCATGTGTGGGGAGGAAGCGTGCGCGTGTGGGTGTCATCCTGGAAGATTGGACCAACACACGTGAGAGTGTTGGCAGGTGTCCGGTGCATTATGCGGCTCCGAGAGAGAGAGAGAGAGAGAGTGCAATGAGGACAGATTGGGTGTGATAAATACATTAGATGATGCTCATATGTATTTTGTAAGAATGTCTGTGTGGTTGTTGCTTTGTTTGTGGATAAATATAGAGTTCAACTAAAACAATTATTAGAGGGACTGCTAAGGAAACGCACATGTTTTTAAAGCTAAGGTGAAAAGCAGATCGCAACCTGTTTTACTCTGCAAAAGAGAAATGGAGCCAAAAAAAAGTTGGAAAGGAGGGTTTGAAAAATAAAAGTACTGAGGGACTTAGTGACGTCAGCCAAAAAGGAAAGTAGTTTCAATTTCAGAGGCAAGTTTGCTACATGCTTTAAAAGATTATATAATTTGAAAAAAAAAACGTCCAATGAATTGTGCAAACTGAGACCAAGAAAGTGCATTAACAAAAGCTAACGTTGACTAAAATAAAAAAAAATTTTTTAATTATTATATTATAGACTAATATTTTCGTCCCCTAAAGATACACATTTCCCCATGACCCCAAAAATAAACAAATAAATAAATGAATAAAATAGCCCTAAATGAGTTTTGTACATGGGATGTTGATGACAGTGAATCACAATCCAATTTGCGATGAAAAATATTCTGACAGCTTATAAAAATGCACCCAGACGTCAATGAATAAATTCTTAATAAGTCGTACCAAGAAATTAAACACATGACTTGTCCTGACAACTAGACTGGAAAGATAATTGCATAGTTTGTTTATCGCAATGTTGATTAGCCCTCAGTGCTGTGTATGGACATGATTACTGAATGCAAATATACACTTTTTCTTGCATGAGGGAGCTCTACGGTCTCTGACAGTGCATCACTGTAAACATTATTATCTTTACAGTTCCTCATCATTTAGTGGCTTATATAGTTCCTAACTACTCAAGATGTCCTTTTTACGAGGCAAACTTAACCCAACCCAACCCAATAGAGTATGTTTACCTACAACAATAAATTCTGTGAATTCAGTGAAAAATTCAGTGAAAAATACCATGACCCTTGAATTGCTCCTAATTAATGATTTAGCTAGACTGACAGTCCCAATGTGCTCTATATGCAGTAGATAGTAAATTGTGTTCTTTTTTTAGTTTAAGTTCTTTTGCTTGTTCTGAAAACTAATTTGTTAAACTCACATCCACTTTGAATCCTCAGATGTCTTGATTTCATAATGCTCACAGCTATTGTTCTCTAAATCAACCATTATCATGCTTCACATCTTCAGATAGATCCAAAGGCAATCTAAACGAGATGCAATTTATTTGAGCTCAGCTCATACTCTGTCTCCATGAGAAAAGAAAAAAAATGGATCCAAAGTGGATTCAAACAATGACTCTAAAGCTAAATAATGTACAAATAGCAAGAAAAAAGTGAGAGTTGCCTATTAAAATACCAATGACTCACATGAGCTATGATTCATTCAATTAGTCTCAAACTCATGAGTAACTGATTTGAATTAAGCTGGTTTATTGAATCGGTTGGAGTGGTTCCTTCTTGAGTTACTGACTGGCCAATTAATGATAAATTAATGAATATATTTAACACAAAGAAGCTATCGATCCATTTATTCATCTATTTTTCTATCTATACACATATGATCATATCATACAAAAGATATGATTCTAAAGAAAATATGTTCAGTTACTCTTCGAGAACAAACTGTAATCACAAGCACTCCTACTTGACATGTTCCCTACTGATTCCACCTATAGAATAACACACTTGACCACTGCTGTCTGCTCATAATTGCCTTTTAAAGAGTCCATTCCAATGTTTTTCAAAGGTGACAGCGGCAGAAGTTCAGACCTACAGATCACTGTCAACAACCACTTCACGTTGAGCATAAGACAAGAACCCCCCACCGAAGGGCGAAACGCTGCCACGGCTCTGCTTTCTAAAAATAAAAACACTAGGGGCTGACTGTACAGCTGCAAACAATTACTAAGGGTTACCTTGCAAATACAAACACAATGCTCTAGCTCCTCAACCCGCTCTCCCACCGCTTGGTGCTGGCTTTGAGGCTTGTGTGGTCTTTTAGCAGGAGTTTTGTGATCTTGTAGATCTTTTAATGTCTTCATCCTGCAGGTAAGTGTGAGCTGGTTTGTCATAAACATCTGTTAAATCCTCCTCATGTTAGCATCGCTAATGAGGCGAAGGGTGTGACAGAACAGATGCCTCTGAGTGTGAGAAAGAGATACAGAGGCGAGACTGTGGAAGGGAGAGAATGAAAGGGTGAGTGATGGGAGAAAATTTATGCAGCACATCCCTCCGTCCCCCTACAGATGAGTCTTTAGTGAGGGCAGATGTTTCTATCATTAAGAAGTTGAGACAGGCTAGGTGCTGCTTAGCAGATATATCTGCTGTTGCAAAAACATGCCCATTTGACTATAACGGCAGGGTCGATTATGTTTATTGATCTGCCACAAAGGAAACAGTCTTGTGCTATTTACCACATGCAAATGGCTCTCGTTCCATATGGCTGACAATGGCACGCAAGAGCCTCAAACCAAATTAAGACTTGTGCGTGTGACATCTTGTTTAACTTATCATCATTCCATGAATGTCCCTGCCATCTAGCTGCTGTAATCCCCTTTTATTATCATGGATTGGCCTGTGAACAATTTGAGATAATCCCTGTTAAACTGGCCTTAATAAAAATGTATAGCAACAAATGGCAATGGAATTGATGTGGAGAGTCTTGAGGGGGAAAACTCCTAAAAAACATATATATAAAGTTTATATGTGGTACATGATGATAGAATGGGAATTTTTCCCAGGGTTGGGAATCAAGAACTTTTCAGAGCTGGAAAAATGTTTTTGAAACAATACTGGAAATGAATGAGTTTTACAATTTTCGTTCTGTTAATGGTTACTGAATGTCAAAAATTATTCATATATATATGGAAGAAAAAAGATAATATTTTAGTTTTGAGTTTGTATATAGACATTTATAATGTCCCAGAAGATTAATAGAAATGTTCTATTTAAAAAAACAATCTTAAAAGAAACCGTATCACATTTAACACAAAAATTCAATATTCACCTTGGCCATCACAGGAAAAGGCTAAATTGCATTATAAAATATATTCAAATGAAAAACAGTTGTTTTATATCATTACAATATTCACAATGTTTCTGATATTTCTATTTTAACCGTATTTGTAACAAATAAATGCAGGCTTGGTGAGCATAACAGACATCTTTCCAAAACCTTTATTTTAAAAACCTTTTAAACAATAGTTTACAGTCTATATATTTATTATTATAGTGCTAATTGGTTGTTCCATATTTTGGTTTAGTTTAGTTTGGGTGAAATTTTGGGAGGGGAAAGTACTAAAAAATAATAAATGTAATGATTAAGTGATCAGAATAGATTTTTCTGTATGATTCCCAACCATAATGACAAGCACACAAGGTCTGTCCACATTCAAGTTGATTCCCAGTTGCTTTTTTATGTGCATAATCTCACTGCAGCCTAGACATTCATTTTAAGGTACACCTCTCCATTCCTCTTCCCTATTCTCTCTCTCTAGCTAAAAAGCAGGCTTGGCTCGGTTATCCATGGGCAAGGGCTCACTCCTGACTGCTGGGAAACAGGAGTACAACAAATGAGCCACGTGTATATGTGCGGATATGCACATATGTGAGTGAGCATATGCGTAATAGGGTCAAAAGGGCTGCTGGACTTCACCTCTTGTGCTCGCTGAAGAGGGCAGATGAACTCAGGGCAGGAAAGATCACAGACATCTGTCTCAAAGAGAAAGAAAAAATTGCACTGTCACAACACAGACCATCACCGCACACGCACCCAGACTCACTGCTCTGTCTGTGCACTGCATTTCTGTAAGCATATATACAAACAAATCAGCTAAAGGAGCTAAGAAATCAAATTGAATCAAAGTGAAAGCCAGGACCGGGATGTGAGGTCTCCTCTGTGTAGCTCATATGAATTCATAGCCTTACAGGCAACCCTACATAAAGACAAATAAGAGCAAGTATGTTGTGCATCATATCTGCATAGGCATATAGTACGCACTGCTGTCTGAAATTAATATGTTTTGTGCTGAGAGTGGTAC